GCCGAGGAGCACCCGCGCTACTGGACAAACCAAGCAGCACCCGAGCTGCTCTGCCCCAGGCGTCCCCAAGTTAGCCGCTGCTGAAACTGACCAGTGGCTGACTACAGGAAGCCCAAGGCAGAGTTGCTCTGCCCCAGGCTTCCTGGAATCAGCTGCTGATCAGTTTCAGCAGCAGCTGACTTGGGGACGCCTGGGGTTCTTAAGTTGAATCTGTATGTAAGTCAGAACTGGTGTCCAGATTCAGCGGCTGAATCTGGATGCCAGTTCCGACTTACATTCAGATTCAACTTAAGAACAAACCTACAGTCCCTATCTTGTACGTAACCCGGGGACTGCCTGTATACAACAACAGAAGTACTAATGTATAGCAAACAAAATAAAAGCCTTAGTGAAAAAAGTCAGTATATTATTAAATGATTATAGTATTCCCGCAGTTTACAGTACAAGAGCTTTAAACTCAGACCAATGTAACAATAGAGTACGGAGTCTTTTATATACTTCTCTTACCTTGTTTGACCATCCTTAGTTTTGTAAGTACTTTTATAAAAGCCATAGAAACCATCTGAAAGATTGGCAATATAGTTTATAGAAAGGAAATACTTCTTGTCCACCAGCAGTGGTTCAGTAGATAAAAAGGCAATTTGCTCATGGAATGGGTATTCCAAAACTTGTAACTGTTTTAAATCTGCTTGGGTTTTTCCAGTTTCCTCCTCAATAGCTGCACTGGTGATTTCCATATGTTTGCTATGTAAGACTATGGCACTAGTTTCATGTACCACAGTGACTTCAATCTTCACAGATCCCATGAATGTTAATGAAGTCAGATTTGGGTGAATTAGAAGGTCATAATGGACTGGAAGAATCCAACTAGGGAGCCTTAAATTATTCCATGGAAATAACTGTCCATTTGTTGCTATAGAGAAAGATGTGTTTTCATTGCTTCTTTCTCCACTGAGAGCATAATTAATTCCAACAAAGTTCAAAGTATATAATAACAATAGCATTGTCACTGAAATGTTGCAATTGTTTATAGAATTTGGTATTTTAGCTACTTCAACATTTTATTCTAGCAATCAAAAAAGAAAAAAAAACACCAAAAAAAAAAAAAAAACCCACGCGTCTTCTCTTTAGTGGAGAATTTCTTGATTGCTTTACCCTGAAAGGAAGAAAAGGACCAATATGAGCACTCTATATATGTACAACTAAGTTATTTGAGGAAGAACCTGACATTTTAGAAATATGTTAACAATGTTTTACCAATTAGTAGGGACCCAATCATGCAATCCAGACCCAATTGTACAATCCAGTCATGCTAATGTAAGGGTATGCCTGCATGTGTCTGATTGCAGGATCCAGACTTACGTATTTAAATATTGTGTTCATGTTTGGGTGAAGGCATGATTAAGAGCTGATGGTCAACAACTGAAATACTCAGAAGTGCGTGCAACTGCATGTATAGTTATCACAGCTGTGTGAGATGGCCAGGTATTTGGGCTGATTGTGGATTGAAATGAATAGCAGGCCATTTTGTAAGTTTAAAAATCTGATTGCAATCACAGTAGTGTATACATTCAAGTTTAAAAAAAAACAGCTTTTATTATGAATGAATGTTTTGTTCACCAGATAGTGGAAAAACCCAATAATTCTTTAAAAGTCCGTTGAGTCTTCCCCGCTTTGTTTTTGCTTCTGTATTTAGCACTGCCTTATCTGCATTTAAACAGTGCAAGATTAAAATAAGAAATATTAGATTCCTCCAATTGTGAACTTGCATGCAGAAAAGATTTAGCGCCCCCTTATCAGCCATGAAAATGAAGTGGTAGTAAGCAGCTTTGAAAAACAAAGTAGCACCCTTCAAAGGAACCCAAATTCAGCATAAGAGGAGAGGACAGAGCCACAGAAACTGTGTATTTCAGCAGCACCAGAGAGCCAAATGTCAGAGATTAGGAACCCTGCAAATGATGCTGTGATGTCCTAGCTTGAGTGCAGACTTGGTTTTTTTTTTTTGGTGGGGGGGGGAGAACGGGGAGAAGAGGGCCTGAATGAATATCAGTCACCTTCAAAAGAAATGTTAAGAGCTCTGCAACATGCCTCCAACTAACAGCTCTGATATTTATATAATTAAAAATACCAGATACATAGATTAGATAAACCCAAAGGCTCAAAATTGCAAAATTACTCTTAGAAGCACAAATTGTACTTAAAATGTCAAGAGGACAAAATGCCAACCTCTTGCAGATATTTAATGAGAGTCAGTGGCGCACAAATTCAGTTAAATGCTGTTTCTTACAAATCATCAGGGCCCAATTTTTAAACCTAAGTATCTGGCTGCTTTATTTCCCAAAATGATAAAACTCTTGGAATTACAGTCTGTACTTTTGCTTGCAACAATTTTGATGTGAAGCTGAGGGAATAAATATCTCTCCGTTTTGCATGTTTTTCACAGCTCCAACTCACATTTTAAATTAATTCATTTAAGATATAGTTACAAGTTAGCATCAGGAACAAACAAAACTACAGTAATTCTCTAGATTTAATGGTGATGGAAAATCTCAACTTGTCTATATCAGGGAATAAAGAACTGTATACACCCCAAGCACTGTTAGATGGCTCTAAGGTCTTTGTCTTGAATTCCTCCCCCACACTGACCCCAGTTCAGAGGTCCAAGGCTCTGCATTCTCTAGATGCTCATGTTTAAAGTTATCCTTAATCTGTTGTGCCTTGCTGAACCAAGGCCTAGTCTTTTTAAGCATTGCACAGGCCTTCTGCCAGTCCTCTGCACAGGATGAATTTCACCCTCAATATTTAATGTTTTAACCTTTCTTAACCCAGTAACACAGGCTTAGGATACCATAAAATGCAGTGGTTGGCTTTTTTGAAAAAACAGAAGAGATAAAATACAGAAAATAAATAAAAACAAGCAAACACGTGCTACAGTACGTTACCGTCTTGTCTCTTTCTTTAATTGTACAGAAAGCAGAACTCTTTTATTTTCAGTTTCTTTTCAGTTAGTTTGTCACCACCTACTCGTTAAGCCAAAAGAAGTAGGAAAACAGCCACCTCTTGTGGCTGCTAGTTGAAAGATTTTTAGTTTCAGAAACAACTTTGTATTTTGTTTCCACATTTGTCTGAAGAAGTGGGTTGTACCCATGAAAGTGCATGATATCATCCACATGTTTTTGTTAGTCTTTAAGGCACTGCTAGACCATTCATCGTTTTTTAAGTTTTTCCAGTTACAGACTAACTCAGCTATCCCTCTGAAGCTTTTGTATTTTGATATACTGCAAGCTGTTGTCCTATGTGTAATGTTATTTGTGAAACTGAATTTGCATGCCTGTGCTTTTTCTTCTGTAGCTATCCCTTAAGAAATTGAAATTGTAGTAAACTGCTTGTAGGGCATTACAAGTAAAGATGTGTACTGAGGGCTGACATTTGAAGAAGCTTTAAAAATATAAAAGAAATAGGATTTAGACCAGGCCTCAGCAAAATACGGGCCCGTTAGCCAGATTCAGCCCGCCAGGCCACTGGATCTAGCCCGAGGAGGCAATGGGGAGCCCCAGACAGGCTCCCCTGCTTCCCCACAGCCCCGCACACAGCTCAGAAACACAACTGCGGGGCACTTTCTCTTTATGATTCCAGGAGAGGGGGGAAGATTCAGACACTGCTCCCGCCCCCAGCACAATCCTATTGGCCGATTTCTGGACGGACACTGGCCAATGGGAACTGCCTGTTTGAACAACAGGCAGCCACAAAGCACACTCACTCAAGTACATGGCTGAGCATGCAGAAACATTTTAAACTCTGCAAGTAGGTTGGTAAGTTTCCAGGTGAGACCTGCCTCTGGCACCTCAGCCCCTCCATTCCCCAACCCTCTGTCCCACACTCCTGCCCTGCTATTCCACATGCACCTATACCCCCTCACATATCTGGCACCCCAATCTCCTGTCCGAGATCATAATCCCCTCTTACCTTAGGTCACATCCCAAAATCCTGCACCCCAGTTCCCTGCCCTAGGTCACACTACATCCTTCACCCAAACTCTCTCCCAGACTCCATTTTCCCTCCTGCATCCCAATCTTTTACTCCCTTCTGCACCCAACCTCCATCCCAGACCCTGAATCTCCTCCATTAACAGCATGGAAGAGTGCAGCCTTCGACCACTTTCCAAAATCTTGGGAGTAGCCCCCCATCAAAAATTATTGCCCAACCATGACTTAGACATTTACCACAAACCCATCTCAAGGTCTTTTAGTCTTGGATTTTTAACATAAAAATCAACAGAACATATTTTAAACTGGTGTGAACTGTCAAAAATCCACCTAGGTCAAAGTTCTGAGGATCTGTTCCACTGGATTTTCTCCAAAAAGACAAGACACTGTCTTAATCATGAGCTGTTTTCCCTATTTCCGCATTGTCAAATAAACAGTTCTTTGAGATCATAACATGTTCATTAATTGTGCAGATGAGAAATACTGATATTTAGAACAGTGTTTTTCATAAACAGTACACACTTGTTAGAAAAATAAAACCACTATGGGATGAAAAACACTTCTCCATTATTGACAAAACACCAAAATCACAAAAAACAAAAAAACCCACACAACCTAAACTGAATGCTATCCTCCACCCTATCTTTCCATACTTTTCTACTCCTCCTGTGTGTGCTATTCACACAGTAATTAGCAACACTCAGTAGGGCAATTCTACACAGGATCACAGAACTATATTTATCTCTTTTGTTAACACTGGGAAATGATTCCTAATGAGTGTTTATCAGCAGCTGATATTGACAGGAAAAGGTCCCAAGCCCAGGACTGTGATACTACTCATACTGTGTAGGTATCACTGGAACTATATAAATGCTATTATCCCCAATAATCACAGCAAAAACTAGACTTGGCCATCAAATTTCAGTAATGAAGTCAAACCTTTCATAATTATATATTGCAGGTATTTCCACTTGATACTATGGCCCATGTAACTGCCTCTTGGAGAGAAGCAGACATTTTAATACAAAATTCAATAACCCAAACTATTTCAACTCCTTCTGCCTACCATCAGTATTTCAGGGTTAACAAAGAAATGAGACAGCAATGAAATGACAGCATAACTTATTGCCATTTTAAGAGTTTAGTATCCACATAAAGGAATGCTTGGCCCATACCAGACAAAAAATTAAAAATTGGCAACATGGCTATTGGCTTACCTACTTTTTAGCCACTACTTGCAACTTTCATAAGGCAATCTAAATTTGGAGTAATCAAGCACACTAGAGAATTACTGACCATCACTATATATTTCGAGTAGTTACAACATTAGCCATAAGAGATTAAGGTTTTGCAGTTTTTGAACTGATACCTACTTATCTTCCAAATGGTGAGTGACACTCAAGGAGACCTACAGATTCAGAGTTTCAGGGGACCATTCGTTTTATGACTCCCAGTTATCAGAGGCATAGCGAGAGTGTTATGCGCCTCGGGACAAAAGCAAAATTTGCACCCCCACCCAACTGCCGCCACCACATGGTGGGGCTCCGAACTGGGCGCATGGCTGAGCCAGACCCTGAGAGGAGGGATAGAGCTTGTACCGTGTCTTTCCCTGCCCCCTCCAGTTTGGGGCTAGGCCCCCGCATGCACTAACCAGCCAGCAGAGATGGAGGAGGATGGGGCAGGGGCAGAGAGGAGGTTCGAGCCAGCGGCCGTGGGTGGAGAAGAAGCAGGCGAGCCGAGGGATGGCAGGGGGAATGGAGGGAGACTAAATTGGTGCCCACCTAGCATGACTCCCGGGAGCAACTGCCCCTCCACCCCCCTCCTTGGTACACTCTTGCCAATTATGCAAATGACTATTTAAATCTTTTTTTTTCTCCAACAGGTGAAAAAACAAAAGTTACAGAAGAATTAAATTGATGAAGAACAAGTCAATATCCATTCACTGGCTGGATACTCTTGTGCAATGGTTTGCAAGACGAGAAAGCAGTGCTGTGCACCATACTGCCATCCATGCACTGATCTACTGTAATTTGAAGATGTTTCACTTCATGAACTCCAACTTCCCAGCTAGTTCATAAATACTACTGTATTCAGATTCTGGCATTTGTCTAGAAAAGTTCAATCAGTGTTCTCTGAAGAAGTGGCTTGTGCCCATAAAAGCTCATACTATCTACATTTTTATTATTCTCTAAGGTGCTGCAGGACCATTTCTTTTAAGGTTGCCTCAGTATAGTACTACATAGAAGCACAGTTATCCAGAGAAGTCAATTCATACAATTCCCTCTCAGCCTGGTCATAGAATACTTTTGTAACAGGGCCAGCTACTACCCTCATGAAACTCTCTTGTGCCATTCTCCTTCTCCACCCCCAGCTCCTTCAACAAATAGACTTCCCAGTCTTTCAGCTACAGCCCTTCTGAGGAACATCTGCATTTTTATTAAATTAACAATGATCTCAAACAGAAAAACAATAAATCACCCAAGCTTAAGCAAGCTAGACATAGCCCTGTCCTCCTGAGAAACCATCCCTTCCTT